CCAACACCAACGATTCCATTCACGTGCATTATAAACAACACCGTTCACAACCCGAACACGCTTCCCAAAATCCAACCTCTGGGTCCACGTCCCGGGAAGCGGTAACATCGGTCGCAACGGCCGATGGCCAAAGAGGCTCTGGTAACAATTTACTTTTGATGTTAAAATCTGAATTTGAATTCTTATAACGAAATCATTTACTTGTATCAAAATATTTTTTACTGATTGTATATATACACATACACACACAGTGGAACCTGCCAATGTGACCATCTCGGTGACAAGGCCACCTTCCCTATAGTGGGCAAGTTTATTTGGCCTGAAATTTACTCGATAGATTTTAGGTATATTTTTTCTCTCTGTATGGCAATCACCTGCTTATTGTGTAATGCGATCACTGTTAGTTAGATCTGGTTTTCCTGAAATCTAACCTGTTAAAGCGATCACTTTATGGAAAAAAAATGGTGGGTTTTTGGATTACTGGCGACCTGCGCGTTGTGGACAAGAAGAAATTCTACTTGCAGGTCAACATCTGCCTCTCACATATTGTAGTATTTTCCATTATCAGAAGTTGCTTCAATATTGTAATACGGCAGCTATTGTGAGAAACTAAATTCAATCCACATTTCAGTAAGAACATTTATTTAATGTTCTAAAAACTGAAAAAGTAGAAATAATTTCGTTACATCCGAAAGTTGCTTTTATATGTTTTTTAAGGTAAGCATATAACTTTCTGGGCACTAGTGATATAAAATCCAGCCCAAAATTTATAAATTGTTTAAGCTATAAAAATCTGAGACGTCTAGCAACCTTGTTGAAGCAGAATTTAGAAAATTCCAGAAATATCAGTAGAAAGCGTTGTTTTTTACTATGTATACCATTTCATTCACAACGCGTTGTAGGAATTTATGTTTTTTCGTTTTTTCTTTTTAATAATCTTTCCGCACTGTGGGCACTAAGAGGGCCTCTTATAGCAGGCCCATTATGGATTCGAGCCAGGCCCACAATGGGGCGACCGAGTAGTGAGGGACAGGGCCCGACATATTCGAACGGACCACTCCCCGGAAAATTCCTGGGGATTCCTTGACCCGTTCGGATTCAATCCCGGGTCACCCAGAACAATAGGCTGACACCTTGACCTCTCGGCCATCCGGCCGTCCGGCCGTCGATAAGAATTTAAATGTAACATATATTGAGGGTGTTTTGTATTTAATAATAGATGAAATTTGATCCAATAATTTAGAGTCTTATATCAGGAGTGACGGCAATGACTCCCCGGCAAGTGAAAAAGTCACTGACTGACTTCACATACAGGAATAAGAGTTGCCGATTTTCGGGGATCCATTTTTCCGTCTCCGAAACATTTATAGTAATATATTAACATTTATAGCCTATAGTAATTTAGAGTATCTCGTCTCGCTCGAGGAAGATTGATTTTTAGGTAGTATTCGAGATTTCAGTCGTTTCAGAAATATGAGCAATCGAAAAGTGCAAAAATCTCCAAATAGCTGTATTTTCTTCTTGTTCTTCATCCTGCACTGCAGACGCTCGAAGAGAAAAACCACTGGGTCTACAAAGCTAAAATTTTCGACTTATGGATTTCTCATTATTAGTGAGGTACTGGTGAAACTTCCGGTCGATAGGTCAAAGTTTCTAACGTATAAACGTATAAATGGACTATCTATATTCATGCCGTTCTTATCACGAACAGTTTGTAGATCCTTTTCGAATGCTTCAGCTGAGGCAGTTCTATCACACAGTGTGGTAGTCACCTATGACAAGGTTTTCTGTTTCATCTATAAGGAGATAGCTCGATGTAGTAAGCACAGAATTCTAAGGAGAGAGGAGATTGTAGGGTTTTAGAAGAACTCTACAATTTCCTCACTCCTTAGAATGGAAAAGACGCCATCGAGAGAAAATAGAGCCTCGACCGAAACAACTTGAAAGATTAGAAATCTACAAAGTCTTCGGGAGAAGAACGGTAATTAACTTCAAGGAAACAGACTTTATTTCGTCAGGCTGGAGAGCATATAAAAAGTTATAAGTAAAGGTTTCTTATTCCAATAGTAAGACTAGCAGGCCTAATATTTATCACGTCTTTCTTAATTATGCATAATTAACAGAGACCCAGCTTAAAACAGTTCTCTTTATTTCGCATATTTAAGAATGCATTTCGGATTGGTAATTTTCTAATCCATATTTGGGCTCACGGCTTCAGGCGTTTAAAGTTCTACAAGAGTGTTTCGCAACCGGTGTATAGCGACACACCGGTGTGTTGTCACAAGGTGAGAGGTATGACATGAACTTTTACATATTTTATTAATTTCAAGTTTTATTTATATATTTTTATCGCAGTTGTTGTTTCTTATGCTTATATTTCATTCACAGATGAAATAAGATGATGTTAAAGGAATAAACACATGTCGTCCCAGTACTTATTTATTTCTTGCATAAAGAGGGCCTCTTAGTGTTCATATGGCGGAAAGAGTTAAAAAAAGTACTTATTCTTTTGGAGTTATAAATTGGACTCACACAGATCTTAAGCAACTTCAAATGAAAACGTCATCCTAAATCTGCCATAGAAAGATTAACCCTTGCATGTGAAGATGGCGGACGTGGCCTGATTGACAAAGTAAATTTTCACTACAAATAAATACGCACACTGCGAGAGTTTTTCTACAAAAGTAAGAAACATCACAGTTACATAAAGCAATAAGTCTAGCAGACTCAAATAAAATCACCATTAAACTTACATTTGCATCATATGGACAAGACAGAACATATAAAAAGCATAGACACTTAAGCAATCGTGGGTTCAAAAGGCAATCTATGGCAGATATCTTTATGACTATCTAGCCCAGGATTTTGTTGACAAAACTGCGTCAAATAGCTGGTTAGCTCGGTGATGCCTCTTTCGGGAGATAGAAGGATTTATGATTGCCATACAGGATCAGGTCATAAATACTAAAATCTACAGAAAACACATACTGAAAGATATAACACTCAGAAATGACACTTGCAGAAAATGTCACATCATGCCAGAAATTATGCAACTCATCACTTCTGGTTGCAAACTCTTGGTACAGATATAATTTACATTGACATAATCAAGTAGCAAATATAATACACCAAGAGCTTGCAAAGAAACACAAATTGGCAGACATCCACGAACCATACTACAAGTATATTCCACAGACAGTATTGGAAAACAACATGCACAAACTGTACGACGACAGTCATAATCACAGATAAAGCAATTTACCACAACAGACCAGACATCACACTCATTGACAAACACAATAAAATCACATACATTACAGACATATCCGTTCCAAACAGTCACAACATACAAAACACATGCAGTGAAAAAATCATCAAGTACACGGAACTTGCCCAGGAAATAAGGCATCTGTGGAGGATGGATAGGAGTGCTTATTGTACCTGTCGTTTTCTCCTCTACAGGTGTCATACCACAAACGCTACACAAAAGCCTGGGAACATTAAAATTGAATAGGAACACACATCACACTACAGAAGGCCTGTATATTGAATACATGTCACATTGTTAGGAAATTCCTGAATACAGACACACAATGACACGCTTATTTAATTTTTGTCTTTTTTTTATGAAGTTACTATGCCTTGATTCTGATCCGGTAGTATACATAGTATACTATCTGATCCCATAGTATACAGCCATCGGTGTCCACCTAGTGTAACTCACAAAACTCAACATAATTGAGTTTTGTGGTTTATGGCATTACAGAATTCTATTAATAGTGTCATATCATACGTTATTGAGGAGAATAACATTTTGGTGTGCCGTGTTGAGTCATGTCGAGTCATAGGTGTGCCGCGAGTAGAAAAAGGTTGCGGAACACTGGCCTAAACGGGAATTATATAGCAAGGCTATTGGATGGGATTATTCCTTGCAAGCAAAATAGGCGGGCCGCCTCTACCGCCTCCACTACGCTACGCCACTGCCTTGTCATGATAATGCCATGTGATCTATAAAAATTTTTATTTATTCCAAATTATCGGTAGTTGATATCAATCATTGGTACTGTACCACAGAGGCCGGATGACCGAGCGGTCAAGGTGGCAGCCTTGACCGCTCTGGCTCTGGCTCTGGCTCTGGGGACCCGGGATCGAATCCTGACTGGTCAAGGAATCCCGAGGAATCTTTCGGAGGGTGGTCTGTTCGGATATGTCGGGCCCCATCCCTCACTACTCGGTCGCCCCATTGTGGGCCTGGCTCGAACCCATAATGGGCCTGCTAAAAGAGGCCCTTTTAGTGCTCACAGGGCGGAAAGAATATAAAAAAAAGGGTACTGTACCACAACTTTTTCGCTATGTTATTATTAGATTGTTATTATAATTCTTATTGTAGAAAATTTCAATCATTAAAATTATATATGAATTTTAAAATAATTTATTCCTACAACATAACAGATTACAAGAATTAAAAATAAAAATTATCCAGTTGGAAAAAATCCTTCATTAACGAAGCCATGTTGCAGAGTTGGCAACACTATATGTGAACGACGTCACACGTCTGATTAATTTTAAATGTATTAACTGAATTCGTGAAGCTAATTCTAATCTTATGTATTCTGTATTATGTAATATTTAGAGTTAACCGATTTTTAATATGTATATGAATAGACGAAAATATTAACCATCTTTATTGAATTATTCAAAAACTTTGTATAGGTATAATTTGTTCAAACACGTGGATGAAAACACGCGATTCTTGTGTTCAATATCACAAAGTGAAGAGATGTACTTTAATCCAATATCATTATTTTTCATTTTATTGGAATATCAGGTTTGGATAGCGTGGATTTTGGCAACTAGTACAATAATGTTTTTTGGAATAGGTTCTCTACGACCAAATCCTTCAAAAATATTTAAATTTGCCATGTCTTACGGGAAAACATTCAACGAAAATGATCAATATCCGGAATTAATGCTTCAAATACCTAAAAGGTATTTTCAGGCTATTTAAGTTTTACATGTAATTTATTAAACTACGAAATTTGGAATATAATGATTGGAATGAAAAATCAACTGGCGATTATATTCGTTTCTAATATACTTATAAATATGTTTTCTACCTGTAGAAATACTTAGTTTTCATTTCTTAATACAAATATTTACCCTTAATACTAAATCTTTCACAAAAAATATTATAAAATTCTAATTTGGTTTACTTAGAATTGTATAATATTAATGATATATTTTCAGAGGTCCAATAGCAGCAGGAGGCTTACATGATATATTTGAAGTTATGCCGTGAGTAAAATAATGTTTAGTTTCAGACTGTAACATGTGATTTGATGTTCAAATGTGCAATGTAAGCCTTCGTTGCTGTTGGATACTGAAACTTCAGTATTATGAAAAGTATTTAAGTCTATGCCTCCAGATTTTTATTTAAGAATATAAATATCAAAGATGGATATATATTGATCAATATTTAAAGTAATTAATATTGTCTTTCAGTAGTGTTATCAATAGACAGAATTAGAACGGTAGAAAATTTAGAAAGGTTTTGATATTTAAGAACATATAAAAATTTATTTTGTAAAGTCAAATAAAATAATTGCGTAATTTATTTTGCAGGTGGTTTCGGCATTTTTATGTATTTGCAAGTATCTATCACACACTTTTAGCTTGGATACTATATAAAGTTTATTTTCAGAGACAACCGCCTCCTCTAATTTCGAATATTCTGGTTAGATTCTTTTTGAATACAGGAATGGTTCCTTCAGGTAATACCATGTAAAGAGTATTCAATATTTTAAAATATGTTTAAAAATGATTATACTAAAAATACATATCTTACACTATGTGAAATATATAAAAATCTTTTATTAAAAATATGAAGAAATACAAAATTATAATTTAAAAAATGGACATACAAAGTTTATTTTTTTAAATAAAAGAATGTTTATGGAAATGACACTGAAATTTTTATGAAATTTATAAGAATTCAGTCTTGTAAAAAATGTTTATATTTTTTATATTTCAGTTTTTTTTTAAATGTTATGTAAGTCCAAATAAGACTAATTTGAAAATTTAAAATCTAGATTTTGAAACATTTATGATTATTTCAAACTTTGAATATGAAAGTNTTTGTCTAAAATCTTTAATTAATAAGTAATTTTTTAAGAAACTTTTTTAATTTGATTTCTTAATTTCCATCTGTACAATTTATGTTTTCATCTATTCAAGTGAATAAAATTGTAAAAATTTTATTCACTTGAATAGATGTGAATAAAATTGTGTGAATGATAGATGTGAATAAAATTCAAGTGAATAAAATTGTAAAAATTTTATTCACTTGAATAGATTTGTTAATTTCTGTTAGGATATAAGTACATGATATGATAAATAGAATATTTTTTACTCAATAATAATACGTTTGTATATGTTTTAAAAATATATTTTAAAGAAACTTTAAAAAATAAAGATTAATTCCTCTGACTGTTTAAAGCCTGTGATTGAACAAAAATGCTGATAATTTTGTGATGATTATTTAGTCTGATTATTGCAAGAAAATCAATTTTGTACTTCAATACAAAAATCCTGTGAATTGAAAACATTTCATTTAAGTTCTGAATAACTAGTTTATAATTAGTTTTCTAGAACAAATCATATTATTTTTGAACATTATGTTCAAAAACAATATGATTTGTTCTAGAAAGTACTATTCTAAACAAGTTGTTCAGAAAGTAAAGAGGATGTATAAAATATGAAAACATAAAAAGATTATGTCAAGTTTAAAGCTTTTTTAGTTCAGAAATTTATATTAAATATAATAGGACTTTTTTTCCTCTTATGTTTAATATGATTCATTGTTACATTGAGTTTTTCCAATTTGAATTAATTGGATATTTTATAAATTGTGTTAAAAAGAAGAATAAGAAACAAATGTAGATATGAATAAGGATTTGGAATAAGGTGAAAAGAGTAAAATAAGCAAATTTATCTGAAATTGCTATAATTAAAAAAAGATGGGAAAACTTATAAATTAATTTTTTTAGTTGTCATATTTTGATACAATAAATAGACTTGTAATAAAGTTTTAATTAATATTTATTATAAATTAAATATGATTTCACTTATATATTTTGTGATTAACACAAATTTTTCAGTTATACCAGAGGCTGTTGTTATTTCTATGGTGCTGATATTATTACATGTTTATCGACGATTTTATGAATGCTATTTTGTTTCTGTCTTTTCAAATGCAAAAATGAATTTACCACATTATATTTTTGGTTACTGTTTTTATTTTGGGGTTGGTCTTTCTCTTCTCTCAGAAGCTCCAGGTTTCACAAAGCCAGGTGAGTTCTTCAATCTTAAATTCTTAACCTATATTATGATTTTTATTAAATAGTAAGTTTTAATTAAAATTATTTTAGATTTTATATCATTTAAGTAAGTTTAATATAAAATTTAAAAATTTTTTATAAAAACAACTTTTTAAAAATAAATTATAAAACAGGAGTACTTAAAAATTAATAGTATTATTATTTCAAGTATCTACCCCTATGTGTAAACTATACTCTTCAATTCTTTAAAAATTTACAAGACTTTTTAAAGCTTATAGATTATCTATAAAGGCGTCTTCACTCATTCTTTCCACACATATGAAAACTAATTCAGCATGCATCAAACTCCTTGAATTTGTTCTTTGCTAGATTTGCTATATAAATAATGCTAGTTAGCACTTTGTTGGTTAGATACAAGACCATATCATAAATTATCATATCATAAAAAACAAAATTTCTTTTGGTTTTGTTTTTATACAATTAAATCTAGTCTTAAAAATATTTATAACTTGAATGTTTATTAAAAAATATTTTGAAATTTACATTTTTAAATAAAATCATTATTTTTTTTATAATTGTCATCATTAATAACAACATTTGGAATAACATTGAATAGTAATTAATTAACCACCAGAAAATAAAAGTGATAAAAGTATTAAAGTAACAGATCTTGCAATACCAGAAAGATCTGTTACTTTAATAGCTAATGGGAAAACATATACAAGTGGATTATATAGGAAAATAATAATACACAGAGCATACTGTATAATACATAGAAAAATTTGGGATTGGAATGGCAGAGATGTGGATGTGGAGAGTGAATGTCAAGGATTGCACCGCAAGTACAGATAAACTTCAATACTGTATATGTAATTTCGATCAGTGCAGATTTCAATTAATGCAGGTCTGTTCTGAGGGAATTCAACATTGCCACCTCAACAGAGCTGGTAATGTTGAATCAATTCCTTCTATTCCTTCTCTACTTCTCACCATTAGTAGAAGAGAAACTGTAGTTTTCCTAGTGCTGTGCTTTTATTTGGGTAGTTTCTGTTTTCACATTTAGTGTAATTTTGCTTTAATTTTTCAGTATTTACGGAAAACTCTAAAAGAGAAAAAACAAAAAGAAATATAGCAACTATGCATCTGATGATTGATAAATATTTTGCTTGATTTAAAAAATTTTTCTTTTTTGGCTACTTTAATGGCTAGTCTAAATTCTCTATAATCAATCTTTACTTTTATTTTCTATGATTTGTGTTCATTTTTGAGTGCAACTACACTATGCTTTGTCTAAAATCTTTAATTAATAAGTAATTTTTTAAGAAACTTTTTTAATTTGATTTCTTAATTTCCATCTGTACAATTTATGTTTTCATCTATTCAAGTGAATAAAATTGTAAAAATTTTATTCACTTGTAAAAATTATGATCTCAGATGACTTCTTAATGATGTCATTCACAAATTAATTTATTTCCTGTTATTGATAACTTTGATATGTATGGTTTTGATATGTGCCGTGTATTTTCAGAACCAATTAACTACATATACTGAGGGTTACTTGTACTTCTATATTAATCAAAAATTTGTCTCCTAATAAAGATACTACAGGTATACCTCGCCTTACGTCGGTAATTGGTTCCAGGAAAACGACTTAAGTCGAAAAACGACGTAAGTCGAATTTACTTGTCTCCGAATCTACTTGTCACTAGGCTAAACCATAAATTACTATTCCCAGTTCTGTATTTTATTTATTAATGCATTTTTAATAATATATGGTTAATAAGAATCTATTTTAAGCTTACAAACAAATAAATTTTAGTTTTTAATAGAGTAAAAAAAAGTAATCTAAATTTACGAATGCATGTACTGTACTGTAAATACAGTACATATTTGTAAATGTATATATTTTAATATGATTTTATGCGCTTTAAACGCTTTTCTAGTGATATTACGACTTCAATATTTGTGGCAGACGGACGTAAACTCGAATAAAATGACTTAAACTTGATTTTTATTTTTCCGTATACTTTTTTGACAAACGACGTATAATCGGGAACAACGTAACTCGAAACGACGTAAGTCGAGGTATACCTGTACTGCTTAGTCCAAAATAGTAGTCACTGAACTAGTATACCATAACTTTAGTATACCATAAAACCAATATGCATTCACTATCATATTGTTCTATCAGATTGAGTAAAGCTACATTTCCTGATTCAGAGGTTGTGAATAGAATGTTCTGTGGAAGAACAAAGAGAGAATTTTGAAAATGTGTTGGTTCCTTTACAGTATAGAGTTGATTCTATTAGATCTCACAAATGATTACATTTTTTACAATATATTTTGTGATTCAATGAATCACATAACATATTGTAAGAAGTATAATATAAGTAACAAAAAAAGTATTTTCCCTATCCTTAGATATTTTGATTTGAAAAATAGCATTTCAAATTGTTTTTTTAATTTTTATGAAGATTATAATGAAACCACAGAAAACAAACCAAGAGATTGTTATCTTGTCCAAATACAAAGTAGACTTTGAGTGTCTGCATATTTAGTAGACAATGAAATGTAAATTTTGGCAAATTCTATTCTGTCTGTAAACTTCTTACTAAAGAAAATGAAAAGATCTTAGGTGTCTTGCACTCTTTGCATACATACTGCTAAAAGGGTATGATTAACTTACTTGTTATATTGCGGTTTTCTGAATGAAAGGATCATTCTTCAGTTTTTTTTAAATGTGAAGTATCTAATGAGACTCTTTATTTTATGGAAGTGGAAGGAGATAGCTTTCTTAGATATGTGCCTAAAAGATGTGTATCATTACTGCTGGTCATAGAAAAATATTAATGTTGGCCCATTATAAAATCTTATTTTCAAAGTCTAGGACAAGAAAGATGTCCTTTTCTAATATGGAAATGCGTTGAGGATGAGACCAGAGAAAAGGATGATAGTAAAACAGAAATATATATGCTATTTCTCCAAAACATTTTGAGGACATAAGAGACCAAGTCTGGAAAAGGATGAACTAGTTGTTTGATCTCATGCTTAGGTTGCAGAAAAAGCTAATACATTGAAAAAATGTATTAGCTTTTGGAATTGTTTTGGAAACATAAGTTTTTAGTTCCATAAAATGTTTTCAGAAAAGGCAAACCCATTTAAAACAGGACTTTCTCAATGTTTTAATTAAAACTATTTGTTATTTGAAATTCAATGTTGATTTCACAAATTCAAATAGGCAGTTATTTGTCAATCAGAATAAATCTGTGAATAAAAACTGGATGGACATTTTTAGAGAGCTGAAAACTAATTCATAAAAGTTCAAAGATCTGATGTTGCTTATAAATAAAATCTTAAATATTCCATGCTCAAATGCTTTTATGGAGAAGATATTTAGCTTCACGTCATCATACAGCAACTGATGTAATGTAGGTTTAATGAGAACAGAGTTGTAAGTTAATTAAGTTACTCACAATCTTTTAGAGCAGCAAAAATTTTTAATAACTAATGTTTTAGGTTACATTTAATAACTATTCTCAGGTTTACAAGTTTTCAATCGAATGGTTTAGAACACAAGAAAATGGAAGATAAATTTTGAGAATGCTGAACAAATGTTTAAATTGAAACAAAAATAAATACCATAAATACAAGTGATAGAAATATAAAATAAATGTATTTTTTATTGTTTTTATTTAAAGACATAAATAAATGTTACACTTAAGGGCAGAAAAACAAAAAATAAAAGTAAATAAAGTAGACAACTGTAAAGTTGGATATATACATGATAAAAAATGTGCCATCATCCACTGATTTATAAAATTTCCAGGGCTTCAGTGTGTTGAATAAGATGTTTATTTCTGATAGTCTTGATGATCTTGGTCCATTCCCACTTGACTGAATCGTCTAATGTGTCTAATCGTCTAAGCTATCAGTTCTTACTCATCTCCAACTTTAAGGTTATCTACTTTGTATAATTAATTTTATCTTTTGTTTTCTGCTGTTGAGGGTTACATTTATTTATATGCTTTGTATTTTTTATCATTTTTATTTATTTATTTATATTTCTATCATTTGTATTTATTGTGTTTATTTCTGTTATTTTTATTTTGTTTCAATTTAAACAAGTAAAACGGCAAAGCCATTTTTGGGACAAGACTATCGTCTCGGAGAGTGCAAGCAACACATGAGCAAATCTTGCACTCATGCTTGTTTNATAAAATAAATGTATTTTTTATTGTTTTTATTTAAAGACATAAATAAATGTTACACTTAAGGGCAGAAAAACAAAAAATAAAAGTAAATAAAGTAGACAACTGTAAAGTTGGATATATACATGATAAAAAATGTGCCATCATCCACTGATTTATAAAATTTCCAGGGCTTCAGTGTGTTGAATAAGATGTTTATTTCTGATAGTCTTGATGATCTTGGTCCATTCCCACTTGACTGAATCGTCTAATGTGTCTAATCGTCTAAGCTATCAGTTCTTACTCATCTCCAACTTTAAGGTTATCTACTTTGTATAATTAATTTTATCTTTTGTTTTCTGCTGTTGAGGGTTACATTTATTTATATGCTTTGTATTTTTTATCATTTTTATTTATTTATTTATATTTCTATCATTTGTATTTATTGTGTTTATTTCTGTTATTTTTATTTTGTTTCAATTTAAACAAGTAAAACGGCAAAGCCATTTTTGGGACAAGACTATCGTCTCGGAGAGTGCAAGCAACACATGAGCAAATCTTGCACTCATGCTTGTTTGTAGAAACAGTCTCAGCATTTTATATTTTCTTTTGACCCTGTTCTTGGTCCCTGACTACCTACAAGTCTGGTTTATTTTATGTGCACATAATTTGGGCACCAAATATTCTGTGCCAAATTGCAACTCCTGACATGTACTCCTTCATACTTCTAAGATGTGCAGCCATTGACAGCAGCGTGATTTTAGAGACAAGACATAGTCTTTTCAAAAATTGTTCAGTGTTTTCAAAATTTGTTCCCTTTTCTTGTGTTCTAAATCATTTGATTGAAAATCTATAAACCCGAGAATAGCCATTAAAATATGACTAGGAAATGTTGAAATTTCGAGATGTGAAAAAAATTTGGGGGCTTTTTTCTGATGTGTGTGTGTGGGAGGCGACACAATTTTGTTCACTTATTTTAAAACTCAATAACTCCTGTATGTTTTGTTGAGAAATTATGAAATTTTGCAGGGAGGATTGTCTATTAGGGGGATTGATGCCATTAAATTTTGCTGGTTAAAGGTTGAGTTGGTGGGGAGTATTAAAACAAGTCTTACAGCTTTTTGTGTTCTTTTATTCGTATTTTTAACTGTCTTCCTGTTACTGCAATGTATACTTTTGTATTTCTATTATAACAACATTTTAATTCATATATTATGCCCATTTTGTTTAATTTTTTTTTTATTTCTGTAATATTTAGTTTAAGTAAAAAATAAAAATTAAACAGCTGTAAATATGAATTAAGATGTAATTATAATAAAAATACAGGAGTTTGATATAGGAGTTACAGATAAAAATACATAACAGCTTTAAGACTTAATTAAACATCAATGGTCACCATAGATAATACATCAAAAATTAAATAATTTAAAATATTATTATATGAAAGAAATACCCAAAAAGAAAAAAAAAAAAAGAAAAAGGGAAAGGAAAAATTAAAGAAACTTTTTGTTATAAAAGAAAAAGTTGCAGTGTTTTTAATGTTTTAGCAACTATCAAAAAGATGAAATATGTGATATTGATGAGGATTGTTGAATCAAAATGCATTTATCACAATAAAGGCATTGAAGAGAAGTAAATTAAGTTTTATTTGGTTAAAAAATAAAATTATTTTGTGTGTCTTTTAAAATAGTTCTATCTTGGATAAACAGTCAGTAAAGAAGGTTTTGGATCTTAACTAACTGTCTTTTAGGTATCCTAATCTTACTTACCTAATTCAGATTAGTAAATGTTATAACTATACATAGATATTAGTAACTTTTTGTTGGTTTCTATTGTTAATTTCTTATAAAATTTTTTAATTGTATTCAATTATTTTATTAAATTGAATAACTTTATTATAGGAAAAAATAATGTCACTATTCATAAATTATATAACAAAGAAATTTTTATATGTATCTTTCAGGTGGCTTAAAGGATATTAATTTTTCTCAAAGTTGGTTAAAAGTAAATCATTTGATTGGAATAACACTTTTTTTATGGGCTTGGTATAATCAACATAAATGCTTTAAAATTCTTGCAGAATTAAGAAAAAATAATAAAGGTAAGAATGTTATTGCATTCTTTTAATCAGTGTATAATGATCACATTTCGATGATTTTGATATAGTAAGTTGTCATTTGTATTTTATTTTATTAATGTTTCATACCAAATTATCTCTCTTTTGTTCTTTTATATCCAGGTGCAATTGTATCAGCTAAATATTTGATTCCAAACGGACATTTATTTGAAAATGTGACAAATCCACATTATCTCTATGAGATAATTTTATATTTTGCAATATTAATAATTTTAGGTTTCAAAAATATAACATGGTGGTTACTTATGCTCTGGATCATTACTTCACACATTTTGATGGCCATTTCCTCACACAAATGGTATAAAGAAAATTTTCCAAAATTTGCATTAACTCGAAAAGCAATAATTCCATATATACTGTAAGATATTTTAATTTTATTTTTATTAAATAAAATTAGATCACTGTTTTTTATTTATACAGAATTATAATATTAATTTTCTAATTCAAGATGTAATTATAAAATTATTGACTTTAAGAATTTATAATTAAAAAATAAAATTTTAAAATAATTTATTGTAATTAATATAAGTTTATATTAAAATGTTGTTATATTTAATTAAAATTCTTTTTTCAACATTATATAAATTCATAAATAAAGTTGAATATTTTGACTTTACTAATAGTCAACATTTAAAAACACACAATGACATTATATTAATAAAATTCAAATACTTTTGAAAACTATGTTTATATAATTTTTGATAGCTACAGTTTTATGTAATTCATTAATAATTTAATAAATATTGAGTTTTATACTGATCTTTTAAAAAAAAAAAAAAGTTTATGGAATGAAAACTTTACAATAAATCACTGTTAATAATTTATTAATATTTTAAATTAAGCATAAGCATATAAAATAAATGATAAAATTGTAAAAATAGAGAAAAAAATATTGATATAATTTCCTAAAATTATGCTTATTTTTGATATGATATTACTATAAAATAGACATAGTTATAAATTTCAGCAATATTTTCTGATATTGTTTATACATGTACTGTATATAATTATAAAGGCCTTTAAATGTTATGTTTAATTTTTTCAACTTTATGTCAACAAAAAAAACTTTATTTGGGTTCCCTGGATGTTTCTTTGTTTAATGATTACTGTAATAATAAACTTTATTAATTATTCAAATTAAAAAACTGGAATGTAAGGAAAATTATTTAGTTATAACTCAAAGTTGATGAGATTTCAGTCACTTATTTCATATTAAATTAAAAGTATAGTAAAACCCTGATTATCCAAGATAATGCGGATTTATACTAGCTTTGATAACTGAAAAAATCGGATGAAAATAAAGGACCATGGCCATTTTGGAATAAAAATTATGAATATAAAAGATTACATGGTATCACTTTTAAGCCTCTTTTTATGCCTTAAGGAATTTAATCATGTAAAACAGCGGGGTTTTTTTATCTCATGGCATGCTTGAATTTATAATTAAATTTCTGCAGAAAAAACACCTGATTTGAAGTTGTGTTTGTAAACATTTTATGGGCATATTACTTGCCACTTAACCTAATTCTTTTTGTCTATATTTTTTATAAATTAAATAAAACAGTATTGCTGTTCCTTGAAATAGCAACAGATTATGACATTAGTTATTTAAATTAATAATTTTCGTTTACATAAGAAAAGCAATTAACATTGTCTTGATTTGCATTTAAAAGTGGCATCATGATTGCTTTTAGAAACTTGTCCAATGTCCTGCTATTTCTAAGTTAAAATAATTTGAACTAAATATTGACAATTACATATACATTTTGGATTTAAAGAGAATTTCATTTTAAATGAAATTATTCGGTGTTATGCACATATAATTTCACTTATGAATATATATTTATTTTTTCATTATATTATGTATACATTTATTTATTATAACAATGAAAAACTTTTATAATCAATTTAAAGAGGTTTTAATTTTGATATGTATATTTATTGTTCTTTGGCCTTCTTTGTAAAATAATTTATTAAATAATCTTTGAAAATTTTCATGGCACATCTACGATCCTCTTGCAGCACATTGCTTGAAAATTACTGATGTAAAAGAATAACAATTTTATCATTGGTTATTATACAGCTAATAGATCTATATACAAAAGTTTTAAGCAGTAGTCTTTTTCTTTAAAAAATATTGTTGGTAGACATGTATAATGACAATATATAGAATTGTTTTTATTGAGAAACTGCTGGTATAATGTGCTGACATGACCTGGCTTAAAAATAGCCATAGTATTAAGAATTAAAGTGTGTATTTTTTTTCTTTCATTTTGATATGAATGCTCACAAATTAAAAGACAAAAGTTAACAGAAACAAATTATTTTTTTAATATATATTCACATACAAGTTTGCTTTGGATGATGTGAAACCTGGTTAATTGGGTTCTACTGACTGTATTTCAAAATATCATATTTGTTTTCCTTTATGTGAAATTTCATAAATATTAAGTCAAGTATTATTACCCTTTCTAATTTAAATTGAAACTGTATAAAACATAATGTTGACATAGAAAGCTCTTATTTTAAAACTTATAATTTAATCTTTTAATGTCAATTTCTTTATTTTATTAAAATGTTTTACTTAATTTCATGAAATACTGTACTTCATTTTCTCTCTGATCTGTATTTATAAGGAGTATGGTTAAATGAATATAAAAATTTTGTGAAACATGTATCTCATAGGGACAGACAGCTTGAATAAACACTTAAAAAACAAAGTATAAAAAAACACTTCCTATTTAAAAAGTTTTTTCTTACTAATGAAATATGAATACTTGACAACTACAAAAAAATTTGCTTGGGCTGGTGAATAATTTGATTAGTTGGTAAATTTGATTTTCTATAATTTATTGATTATTAAAAATTTTTTCACATGCACAAAAAATATAATGAACTTAATCCATGTTTCAATAGCATAAGTGGAAACCTAGTTTTAAATTTATGTTCTTCTTTTTTTAAAATAAATTCTGTTATTATATAATTCACCCTGTTTTTTCTAGAATAATTTTCTAAATAATAATTGTATTTATTGGTAAACATTTTCATATGTATAAGTGAATGATTTGTTAAAAATGATTTTTCTGTTAATTATTACAGATACCATTTAGATTTCTTTTACATGTAGTTTTTAACTATTGGAAAATTATTGTTATAAGTAAAACTTTACAGGTAAATACTTCAATAGAAATGTAGCAGATTAAAACTTTTTGAATCAATGAATAGAATTTTTGGAATAGAATAAAATGTGTATCACATCATCAGTAATTCATTTATAGCAAAATAGAATAGCAAGAACTAAAAGGCAAATTGTTCAAAGATTTATTTGGAGAGTTGGAATTAAATAAACAATATCTGAAATATTTTTTTTAGAAAACTTAGAATATCACTTTTTCATAAACAATTCTTATCCAAGATTAAGGAATAATAATGACAAATATTTATGTAAAATTTTTATCTGAAATGTTAGATCTTGTCTTCAGATTTAAATGCATCTGAATGTAGTAATGGATTACACAATTAAATATTTTATTGAGAATAACACTATTCGGAACTTAATTTGAGAAATAAAACAAATTTTAACTGTATTCGTTGATTATTTATATTAAATTATTTTATTTATTAATACAGTATTTAAATTTTCGTAATGGAACTTTCACTGCATAGCACAGGTCAATTACCAAGTTTAACTGTAATATAAAGTCTATATCTAAATAAATTCTTCCGTTTCAGTTTCATTAATAATTAGCTGATAAGATATCATTCAATAATAATGGGACAATTAGAGAAAATTGCTTTAATAATAATAAACTAATACTGGTTAACAAAATTCCGAGAACTTAAAAACTATTGATTGTAATCAAATATTATGTTTTGATCAATATCCGAGGTCGATCTAGGTCGGTTCTACACATTTTTCATAAAAATTGCGCCGCTCAACTTCAGCATGTAGCCTACGTAAAAGGAAGCAGGAGGGTAGTAATTGTTACAACGGTAGGTTGTTGACACGTGGACTGGTAGGTTACTGACCTTTTCTTTCAATTTCTCTGATGAAATATTTTTCATCAAAGAATTTTATATAAATTATATTTGACAAATAGTTAATTTGATTAGACATCATACGACTCAAATTCACAAGCGCATTGGCGCACGCACGATTATTATTATTCCCTGCCAGTATTTGATATTGACGCCATACTCATGACCTTGACAATGAAGTTTGTTTATTTTAATCCTATATCGTTAAGTTTACTTTTATTACAATATCCGGTAAGGACATTGTGGATAACAGAATGCTTTGTGATGATTATATTGGGATTAGGATCTTTATGGAAAAATTCACCAAAAATGCTCAATACATTAATCTACGGAAAAGCCTTCAAGGAAAAAAATGAATATAGAGAAATACCGAAGGTTCCTAAAAGGTAAATTTTACTACTATTGAACATTTTTGAAACACGAGAATTTTATATAAAAATCGATCGTTATTGTATTAACTAATATTAAGCATAATAACAAATTGTTAAAAGCAAAATATTTTTATTTGACGGAAGTATTTCGAAGTATTGTAAAAAAATCTTTATCTATCAGTCAATTTACGCGTATTTCTATCTCATTCTAATTTCGTCGTCGTTTGGTTAATTATTGATAATTAAACTCTAATTCCTTATGCTTAAAACTAATTGCAGAAAAATTCATCATGTTGATCTTGCTTGTATAAAAGTTGTTTTTAGTTTTAGATGTTTCCCAATAAATTAAAATTTCCTCAAGAATATATCCAGATATATCCTGAGCTTCCCTTTTTATTTGAACTTTTACGCTGAATTAAATCAGAACATTTCTTACAATTCACGATATTCTTAATTTATTTTATTTTAAAAATGTTTAAAGAATTGAAATTTAAAGTTTCAAATTTTTATATAGAATTAAAATTATTTTGTGTGATTACTCCACAATCTTAAGCTGGATATCAATATGATTTTGCCGAGCGATTTGAACGTTTTTGGGACTGCACATGCATGACCTAGAAAAAAATAAGCGTCCAAATCACGCGGTTAGACCATGGATGTAAAGAGTGCACTAAACCAGTTTTTTTATTGTTTAGGTCGAAGACCGCTAAACTAACAGTTTATCATTCCTGGTCCTTTAAAAACTTTTGGAGCCGTATTCTGGTCTCTCGTCTCTCACAAGCCGGTCGCCGATTGGCTAATCATTTGGATTAGCCAATCAGCGACCGGCTTATGAGAGACGGTGACCAGAATATGGCCCTTGGTCTTTAACTGTCTTTTTATCTTACCCATTATGAGTTCGTCCAGGTCCACAATGGGACGGATGGAGATGAAAAACGGGATTTTTTTC